GGCGATATATTGCGATTTTTGGACAAAAGTATCGCAATATATCGCCTTGCTTATAGTATCGCAATATATCGGGATATATCGTATCGTGACCCCTCTGTCATGATATGTATCGTATCGCCAAATTCTTGCCAATACACAGCCCTAAATGCAACCCCATAGCATCAGAGAGGCAGATGTTTCTTCCTCACCTCTATTAACCAAATAAGTTGCACAATGCTCCTCCAGCTGGTTATTCATCACAACGTGCACTTTTACTTGTTGTCCTTTAAACTTTTTTACATGTGTTTGCATCAAAAAACTTCAAAAGTACTTTATTTTCCCAACAAACTCCAACATTTAGTTAGTTTCAACATTTGATGTTTAATAAACATTGAGAACCGCAAGTCAATGAAGTCAGTTTTAAAACACAATTCAGTTTGAAAACTGAATTGTGTTTCAGTCTGATTTTTCTAATGTGGGATTTAAAAAAAATAATTTTACTTGTTTCTAAAACGTTTGTCATTCACTGTCTTTTGTACTGCTTCATTGCTGTTTCTGGTGTACACAAAAGTAACAAACTGATTTATTTAATGAATGAACTTGACTATAATTGAGCAATGATGACGAAGTGATAATATTGTCAAAAAATGTATTCAAATAAAACAAAAAAAAATCAACTTAGTGCTAATCTCTATTTAGATAAGAGGTATATGGTTTCTGTCAAATAATGCCAAGTAATGATTTATGGTGCATGTCAGCAGCTTAATGTGATAACCATCAAACCATATCAGTATCCTAAAGTCAGTGTCAAAAATCTGATAAGTCTGTGTGCATCTCACACAAGAGCTATTAATCTTGTCTTGTATTATATTGGTTGGTGAGCTAGAGGAAATTAAAGTAATACAAGTGAGTKTTTAATGCAAGAGAGGCTTTATAAGAAATATATATTTTTTTGCTTTTATGTCAGAGTGCAACATCTAAAATGCTGGTGCTTTGGTGTGTTTTGACAAAATGACTGAATAAAAGAGAATGAGATCAAACCAAAATGTCAAACAGCAACTAAAACCACCTTATCTTCCTCTCAGCTGCAGTCCCTTTCAAACAACCGGACCCTTGTAGCAAAATGACATGAGTTAGAAGTTTGCTTTTATGAGGCACTGCCTGGGGCTCTGATACAAGTTATTTAAATGTGATTATGACCCAACTTTTATTTGCAAAAAGGCTTTATGAGTAATCAGGAGAATTACAGTTATTTGTCCACAGAGAAGAGCTGTTAGCTGGATTTATCCAGTGGGTGGCACTAATCTAACAGYTGAAACGCAATCATCTCTTTGAGCCTTCCTGTCAGGCGGAGATCATGAATATTCTCCTTGTTTTTCCACATGCAGATGAGGCGGCGCGCGGGTTTTGGTTCACATTAACGGAGGGCAGGTGTGTGAGCAGGTTAATTATGGAGCTGACGGTGTTTGAAACCGTCAGATCAGAGCTGCAGGGTAACAAGAACAAGGTCCTTAAACCACGAATGTCACAACAGGAGAAAATATTTCTACAACAGTTTTTTTTTAAATGAAACAGCTGGGTTTCCCACCTTCACCATGTGCGTAAATGCGCGCGGGCCCTTTAAGAGAACAGGTGTGTCTTTGACAGGTAACAATAAACACAGGAGGTAGTCGCGTAAGAAAGCAACATAGCTTTGTTTCAGTGGGAAATCAACATGAGGGAAGAAGGGAAACGCTTTGGTAAGGCTTATTTACAACCATCTCATTATTTTAATTAGATTTATGTTCAGGAMAACTAAAGAAACTTAAACGCTCACGTGTGATGATGCGTTAAAGATTATGCGATGAAACCTTTAATCAAATGGATTTTTTTTAAATAAAGAAAAATGATGGTTTTATTAACAGGAGCGGTTTTTTTCAGCAGACCGGCCTGATTGACGACATGAGACAACCTCTGCTCTTCATTAGTCTGTCCCTGGCAGGTAAAAAAAAGAAAGAAAATTCAGCTGTGACACTTTCTGCTCTTCCTCCGGCTCTGTTTCTTCAACTTGTGGAGAGGAAAAAAAACTTAAAGAAGATAAAAGCAAACATGTAAGAGAAGGACCGCTGAAGTATTCCAAGCACCTGAATAAAACAAAAGTAGTTTAGAAGCTGTTAAACCTGCTCGGCTGCATTCTCATCCGCTCTCTGACGTGTTGCCTTCAAGGCCTCCTCCCACAATCCGACATTATAGTTTCGGTTTGTGATTGAAAGCAACGAGGGCATCGTTGTTTTTTAGGGGGAGTTTATAAAATAAAATCACACAGATTAGGCCTGTTGCTGACACTAACGCGTTTCTAAACCAGTGGTTTTCAAACTTTTTAGCTTCTGGCCCACAAAATAACAGTTGCAGAAACGTGTGAGCCCAGATGAACATAACTATGATTGGTTACTATCTTTCTTCATTTTTATTATTAATGTTTTTCTCTCTTTTTTTAAATGAATATGGTAAAAAAAATTCAATCAAATTTTTTTATTTGCATTTAAATAGATGCCTGGAAATCATCAGGGGACCTTCACTTAATGTTCCATGACCCACAGAGGGGTCTCAACCCCAATTTTTGGAATGAATTTTCTAAACTAACTAGTTAYAAAACTTATTTGGGAATGTGCAGATTCCTGACATTCAAGACATTCAAATATCTAACTTTTATAATAATACCAGGGACGAAACAACTAAAATAAGATACGGGGTGCAGAATGAYTAAAACAAGGAAATGAAGGGAGCACTAAATGTCAACAACAAATTCTGTGCAACAATGGTGTAAGAAAATATCACAACATTTCATTTCCTGATACTGTTTTGATCCTTAAAAGCACGCTGTGATTAAGGTTTAACGGATAGATGTTGTAAAAATAAACATATGCAGTTCTCGCTGTTGTTCAGTGTTATTCTGACTGCATAAAAATAAACAAATGTATATTTATGGGAATTAAAGTGACCCATCTCAGAGACAAATGTTTGTGGGACAATTCTAGAAACACATCAATAGAAAAAAGTATTGGGTTTGGATAATGCCATGAGGGAAACTATCTAAATATTGTGATTATGACAAAATAGTTTCAAAATCTTTCAACTCCACCATGTTCTCTTGTACAAATTAGGTATGAAACTGAGAACAATCATTAAACAAAGATCATTTTTAAGTGTTTGAGCCGTTGCAGTAACAAAAAGCAAAGAGAATTAGCTCCAGGGATGTAAATTATATTCTCATTTGTTTATTAACTAAGGGCTGTTTTTCATGCATGAAAGATATTAACTGAGGTAATAATTAGTGGCACTTCCAAATTATTAAATACACATTTAGCTGCTTTTGGTCTCAGCAGCTGTGGTGCCACAGATCCAATCTGACCGGATCTGTGAACGGCTGCAGTGTTCCTCTCATCGGCTTTGGATCGATGAAAAAAACCTCTCAATAAACACGTTTGGTTCAAATAAAGAAGTAGATAAATAAAGCTTTATTTCCTTTTAATCAACCAACAGAAACTTAAAACTTATCAAGAAAAGTTTTACTACTATTATTAAAAAGTCTTTTTACACTATTTAAATAAAAAAATACTTTTCTAGTTATTAATACAAAAACAAACCAGCTATTGGTAATTCATGCTTTACTCAACACAACGTCAAACTGATTTTTGTGTCGGTGTTCTGTCAGTTGAAAGTATCGTTGCTCTGCTGCATCATTCATGGGTGTTTCTCATTTCTGACTCATTCGTCTGTTAGTAAAACAACAAAGGCTGCAGCTTAGAACACCTTTTGTTTGCTTTGAGGACTCAACATGAATTCTGTGCTATGTTATGATTAATTTTTTTTCTCTTCTCCTGTGGAGGTTGTGTAAAAGCTGTCAAGCGAGACGGATCAGAATCGTATTGATTCTGTCTAGAAGTCACTGGCAGCGTTCTTCTGTGGCTGTTTTATGTGTAAATGTTAGACGCCACAAATTTATTTAGCATGAATATGTGGTGCCGCATCAACACAAAGGGACAAACACAAGAATTTATTCATTTTATTACTATCTGGACTATAAATAAGGTGTAAAATATCCCTATTTGTTTGCATTTTGTGCAAAAATCATTTAAATCAGGCTAACAATGTTTGGACATTGTCTGTGGTGTTCCCCAGGGGTCAGTGTTGGGACCTAAACTCTTTATTTTATACATAAATGATATATGCAAAGTCTCTAAAGCATTAAAATTTGTTCTCTTTGCGGATGATACAAATATTTTCTGTGAAGGGGAGGATTTACAGCAGCTTGTGAAGGTAATAACCTCAGAATTAAATAAATTAAAAAAGTGGTTTGATACAAATACATTATCATTAAATTTGGATAAAACTAAATTTAAGTTGTTTGGAAATCGTAAAGGAAATAGTGATTTAAAAATAGGAATTGAGGATGTATATGTAGACAGAGTAAATTAAATTAAGTCTCTGGGTGAGGTGATTGACCACAAGATCCGCTGGAAAACTCATATTCAGAATGTTCAATCTAAAATATCAAGAAGTATCTCAGTCCTCAGTAAAGCTAGATATTTTCTAAATAATAAAGCATTGCATATTGTATATTGTTCACTTATTTTGCCATATTTGAGTTATTGTGTGGAAGTCTGGGGAAACCCTCAGACCGTTGTGCACTCTCCAGAAAAGAGCCATCAGAATGGTTCATAAGGCAGGCTTCCAGGATCACACTACTGAGTTATTTACCAAATCCTGCTTGTTAAAACTCTTAGACCTGGTTGAATTTAAAACAGCTCAAGTGCAAACAACTACCAGATAATATACAGAATTTTTTTATGGGTAGAGTGGGGGGTTATGATGTCAGGGGAAACCTTAATTTCAGAACAAGGAGTGTTCAAACAACAATGAAAGGAATGTGCACCTCAGTCAGTGGTGTAAGGGTCTGGAATAAATTCAATCAAGAACTGAAGCAATGTCCAAACATGAGTTTGTTTAAGAAAAAACTAAGGCTAATGATTTTTGACAAGTACAGAAAATGATAATCTGGGGTAAACTTGGTCCCTCTGTGTTCTGTTTTGTTTTCATAAATGTATGGGTTGAAATTATATAGTGCTTGCACAGGCATTTTGGT